AAAAAAAACGTAGGATCCTTGCTTAAAATCATGGTGCAAAGTAATGGGGTTGAATTTCACTATTGCAGTGATTGTTACTAAGTGAAACGCACTTCGAATAATATGGCATGTGTTCTTACAAAATTGAAGTTGCGGTTCGCACTACTCTGTGTATATACATATATCCGCTTATCGTATGTTCCTCGAGAGGTTTGAATTTCAAAGTTGGTTTCTGACTGTTTTCATCAATTTTGTTTAAGTTGAGAAGGAAAAGATTTTAAGTATCTAGTGAATCTTATGTGCGATATTTTATTTTTCATCCTTAGGCATAATTGCATATGGTTTCCTTATTGAAATTGGTCTATTTGAGTTTAAAATTTTGTGAAGAATATATATATTTGAGAATAAAATCAGATTTCTTTCCTAAGTTTCGAAATATTGTGAGAAGTTATCCTTGTGGGAAGTTTTGGTATGTTTGAATTTCAGATTTGGGGGATCAGTTTTGCTCTAAATCGCCCAAGTTGCCAATGTCTTTTTCTCTCTCTTCACCTTGAATCTCGGAAACTGCTTTTTGCAGTTATCTATGTCAGAACATCTTTTAAACTGTCACTCTTCTCCACTTTTTAATCATTCTCACTTCTTCTGATTTTATCTCCATCTCTCTCTCTTCTCTCATAAACCGATTGAAACCCTATTTTCACCACACTCAATCATCATCTCTCTCCCATGGCTGGAAGCAAAGATAAGTCCAAGAAGCGGCTCAAGAAACACAAGGAGAAAAAGTTGAAGCGTCGTCGTCTCTCTCTCACTGCTAGTTCTGCCCGTGAGTCCACTCCACCGGCGAAATCCCCGTCTCCTGAATCGTCTCCTCCGGCGAAGTCTGTTACTCTCTCCTCCTCCCCATCTGGTACTCAGTCCAAATCAGACAACGTCGGCAAGAGCTTTGAACCCTCTCCTTTGGCCACTGGTTTACCTGGCCTCTCTGGGTTTGACGAACCTCCTGCGGTTCAAGCTCGGGGGGAGTCTTCTGCAGTTCCAACCTCCGCAACCAAGTCAGTCACCAAGACGACGACCACCGAGGGAGAGAAGGACGATACCGCGGCGACCCTAGTTGATGTTCACTCCGACCAACCAACTCCACCACCTCGGGCTCCGGTGCACCGTTCCACTCGCCGTAGAGGCAATGATCCAATTGATGAGAATCTTGCACCACCAGAACCAGAAGATGACGTATATGACCTTGAAAATGCCTACACTAACCGGTTCTATACCAAGGCCTCTCATGTCAGGTTTGAGCGTCTTCAGTCCTATGGGTTTTGGTCTGAACATCCTCTTAAGGATGATAAATTTGTTGAACTTGGTGTCCTTCCTCTCATTGATTCTGTTGGTTTGTCAAAATCTGTTGTGGATCTTGGTTCTTTCTGTGAACAAGTTGTTCGTGAATTTTATGCCAATCTCACCCCTGTTGTCTTTGAACCTGGTAGCCCTAGTTTTCACAAACTCTTTTTGCATAATCGTATTATAGATTTTTCGCCTGCTTTGATAATGCTCACTTGGGTATACCCTCTGATGTTCAATCCTTGCCTTATGTGGACCTAGATGTTGTGACCCAAGTCTTTACTGCCAACCAACTGTCGTCGCATGCATCGGTTTCCACTGCGAACAGGAGGCGATGGTGGGGCCGACGACGGTGCAGGCCGGCGGGGACTCCGGTGGCGTAGCAGGTATTTCTGGTCCAAGGCATTTTGGAACAAGCCTCATTTTTCATTTTATTTTTTATTTTATTTTTTCAAACCACCTTATTCATTTTTTTCATTTTTCTTTTTTTTTATTTATTTTCTGAAAAATGTGTGAAATTACTAAAATGCCATTAAAACCGGTTTTTTTAGTCAAAACTACTATAATATCCGGTTTAGGAATCACATTGAGAAACCCGTATAGTTCATATGGTGGTTTGTAAAATAAAATAGTTTATATGGTGATGCGCCAAAACCGTGATAGTTCGGATGGGAAAAAGTATTTTACCCTATTATCACTAAACTCTACTTAATAAGATAATTAATGCTAATCTACAACACAATAATTTCTAACATCTAACATTATATTAATAAATTCTATTTTATAAGATAATCAATTATAATCTATCTTTTTTATAAGATATTTTGTAATTTTATGGCCGCATATGGGACGGCCGAAAAGACAATCCTGGCCAAGCGAGTTTCGGCCGCGGTTTTCGACCGTCCCCACCGACACGGGCCTCGTTCGCCGGCTGGCACGTGCCACTGCGGCCGCCGTCGTCGGCCGACCGGCAGTTTTTAATTTTTTTTTTAAACTCGTTTTAAATGTAAAAAAAATTACTTGTTGATTGGAGAATCATTTCCCAATGCGTGAGAGTTGTCCCGCCATTTTTTCGAACTTATTTGGGATTTTTGAATTTATTTATTTATTTATTTATTTTTTTTTTTGACAGTTTTTTTTTTCAAACATTTTATTTCTTATAAGTAAGATTTTTTTTAAGTTACAAAAAAGTGATTTTTTTTATTTATTTTTTAAGTAAAATTAGCAAAAATGTCTTTTAGGGGGACATATTTAGTAATAAATGAGAATGTGAATAGTAAGACCCATTCTTTATTTATATAGAAAGTCATTTTATTAACCAAATTGCACGATTTACAAAAAAATATGCAATTTGATTTTCATTTTCTTATTTATAAATAATGAAGTAATATTTTACTATATTTTCTTTCATAATAAGTCAACTTATTTAATTACAAAGTCAAAATTACTATTTTGGATTATTCCTCTTTCAATATATAGATATAGATAATAGATTTCATACCTCATTTTAATATTTTAGATGTCATTTATTCAAATGTTACATAATTCCACTTAACCCAACAAGATACTACTGTTTTCAAACAAACAAACATTTTTTTTTTAAAAAAAAAAGGTCACTACAGATGATAACTGATAAGAAAAGCCAACATAAGACATAAAACCAAAAAAACACAAGAATTTAAAGATGGGTAAAATATTTTTTCCCATCCGAACTATCACGATTTTTGCGCATCACCATATAAACTATTTTTTTTTACAAACCACCATATGAACTATACGGGTTTGTCAGTGTGCCCCCTAAACCAGATATAAAAGTGGTTTTGACTGAAAAGCTATTTGGTCACCATATTTGCCCCCTAAATACTTTTACAAACCACCATATGAACTATCACGGGTTTGTCAATGTGCCCCTAAACCACTTTTATATCCGGTTTAGGGGGCATATTGACAAACCCGTATAGTTCATATGGTGGTTTGTAAAAAAAAATAGTTTATATGGTGCTGCGCCAAAACCGTGATAGTTCAGATGGAAAAAAGTATTTTACCCTTTAAAGATTTAGGTGAAAGCCACAGGCCCACAAGACAGACTAAATATATATATCTCTGCATAAGGCCAAACAAGTAGAGAGATCCTAGTTAACATATTTTCACTCCCTGTCCACAAAAGCATATGTTTTCTGCCAAGTACTACACTAGTTAGAACCATCTTCAGACTCCACTAGTTGCTCTTCCCATTTTCACATGTCAGTGGCTGCTTGTAACCTGAGTTGCACAGAAAACATCTCATGTGTCGAAACTCACATAATGATAGCAAACTGCTACGGTTTGAGATATTACAACTAGGGGTGTTCATAATAACGATAACAAAGTGCTTGTAACCTGACTTGGCAATTACAACTAGGGGTGTTCAAACTTCGAATCGAACAAAAATAACTAGCAGATATAATGAATTCCGTTCAGCCTTAAGATATTATTTTGGTTTTTGGATTACACTTCAACCTTACTCAATTATTCCGGTCTGTTATGGTTTGTTTCAGAAATAACCAAGCCAACCTATATAGTATTTGAACATTTATGTTGTATTATAAAAATACTGTAATACTTCTTCTCGGTACCCAAATGCGATTAAAACTTCAAACTGCCATTCATTTTTCGATTATAGAAGCAATAGCACTCTCCAAACAGACTCCAAATCGTGAAACACTAGTGCTCTTAAAATTTCAGTGCTTAATTGTTATTTCCTCAAATATAATGTCCTCCGCTCTCATAGTCTGATTATCCCGTTTGTCCTGAAATTCAGAATTTTCTAAACTCGAAGATTTGACTATTCACCTTCAAATTCGGATTTCAAATCTTCGCCCTCACCTCCTGGTGCTACATCTTCGCCATCTTCTCACTAAGGTTTACGTTTTACTACAGTCTAAGCTCAAGTATTTTTTTTTTTCCAATGTAATTTTTAGAGGGATCTCAAATCTTGCAGATGAAAAATTTATCTTTTACCTCCTGGTTTTTATCTCAAGATAGAGCCCAAACGGACTCAAAGAAGAACAACGAACTTCCTAATTGAAATTTTTAAACCCAAATCATTTGTTCTCATAAATGAAAAATTGTTAGTATGTGACTTCTGAATGGGACATGGACTGCTTACACGTTTGTGAAGTGAAAAATATTAAGGAACGATGTTTATGTAAATTAACACACCAAATGTGTATTAACAAACTAATTCTGCGTAAATTTTGTCGACGCTAGGAAATTGGTAGAAGCTATAATACCGAAACAGGAGTAGCAGATAAGGCTCATGTCAGAGCCATCAGCTTCAACTAAAACTCATCAGAAGCCATAAGCAATATGCTTACCATTCAAAACAAAATGGTACCTCATCACTTCTTGCTCATATTCAAAGTTGAATAAAAAAAAACCCATGTAATGCTAAAACGCACCTAGGCACCAAACTTCTATACTTCTGCCCAAAAGAGGTTGTTGATGGGTTACGTTCACTACTGGAGGATGATTACGGTGAGACATGCGAATATGAATCTTACATGATGATAGCTATTTGTGAAAAGTAGAGGGTTTATACGCAGAGCATGTCCTAAGTTTAAAATTCTTTGTAATCAACCATTCCGAGAGATTGCTAGGACTTGTATGTCAAAAAGAAGTCAAAGTTGAAATCAATTTTCAACTTATGTATCTTATGTATTGAAATTGAACTTGGGTACTTATTTTAATAGTGGGAACATTTTTATTTTCGGTTGTGCTGGGCAAATATTATTTTTAGTTAGTTCGTATGGACTAACCAAAGCCTTGTAATGACAACAAAAGGCAAAAGTCCGATTCAACCGACTGAAAAGTACAATTGGGTTAAATTTCAATTTTTATTGATACTTCAAATTATTCACATTCTATCACAGTGGAATTGGAGATGAGACCTCGGGTTATCCAAGAAATGTGAACAACTATTTTGGTTTCTGAATTTCGATCGGTTTGTTTAACCGAAAAGGCGGATGAACACCCCACTACAACCACATCATTCATCTTTTCTCCTAGGATATAAATGATTCAACACACCATTACATAGAGGAATTAAAAAAAAACAAAATAGAACTACAATAGAATAGACTTGTGACAAAGTTGCTCTTATGTATTCCAAGGCATGATTGCTTAGACCTTTGTATAAACAGAACCATTGTACTCAAGGTTGGCTTTTAAGCTTCGTATTTTTAAAATCATTGTTGTATAAGATATAATTAGGAAATACATACATACCTCTCAATAGAACGCTCTGTTTCCTCCCTGCCAATAGTTTATCAACAAACATAACATCAATGACAAAACAACTAACAACACCCTCTTCAACCTAACAAGAGAGAATATCCAAGAGGAAATAAATCATTAACTCGAACCTTTTCTTCCTCAAGTGCTTCAACTGTTTTCTAGCATCCTTGCTGCAATAACAACAAACGACATGATAACTTTGAAATTCTATTGAAAAAAATGTCAATGAGACCAACATGATTTCACAAAAAAATGTTTCATAATAGTCATGAAAAGGAAACTAAAGGCATAACTGCATAAATAAGCTGTGACATTGACCAATCCCCAATTTGAGATCAAATGAATATATTTCCTTGGGAGGTATCAAGAAAGAATTTGGATGGAATAAGATCGATGAATAAAGAGAAGATTTACTGCCTGGGATACCAATGGGATAGAGATAGAGAACAAAAGAAAATTTGAATATTTCATGTTTTTTATACAAGAAAAAAAAAAGATGCATACTCACATCCAACGTTCGTACACTTCCTTATCTCGTTTCCTGCAGTGGGAGAATTCTTAGTTCAATATTTTAGAGTGTAATGAGAATGTATTGCAAACAAAACAAAATAAAATAACTAGCATGAGAGTGGATATAAGTTACATACCAATAACCATCAAAATCCATGCTGCGGTTATAACGCAATCCAAAGAAACGAAGTAAATTAGTCAATGAAAAAAGAAAAAGGCCGACGAAATGAGTATCTAAGGTAGGAGAGTAAGTAGAACAAAAGGACTAAGAGGTCGTGAGGTCGGAAAACAAAAGTTATCACTCACACGTAAAGAAAGCAGGCAGTCAAAGCCCAAGGCATTCCTATGCACAAACCCAAATTTCCTAAAGAGTAGGATCACAAAGAATAGATTAACACAATGAACAAATACACACATACACACAATTAACATTAACAATCTTACTTCGCAAAAAGATTGTGCCACGAGGAGAGTTCCTACACAAAAGATTGCACAAAGATTATCATACTATATGTGGGGAACAAAGTTTAGTTCTGCAGAAGAGTTACTCACAGTACATCTGTTGAGTATTGAAGGGATTTTCGGAGCAGACTTATCATGGTGCTCTGGATTCCTGAACAGAATGGTAAATCACAATTAGCCACCTCCATTAATTTCGTGACCTACCACAAATTAAATAAACCTAAAGTAAAACCAAAAGGGTTCAAAAATGCTTATTCACCCTACATAATTTTCGAAAAGCTTTACAAGCACATCTGAAGATTTTGATGAACCATTAAAAACACGTGAAATAACAAATAAGAGAAGAAAAAAAAGAGGCATCTTCATTCATTTCAGATCTACCCAACAACGTCCTTATTTGCCGGAAATCGGGCGGCAGAGGGAGAGAGATCGTGTGCTTCGACGGCCGTACAGGACTCGTCGCCGACGTCGCTTCCAGACCTTCGCCTTCAGCGTAGAGACAGATCGTGTGTGTCTATGTGTGCTTCTCTGTGTGTGTGTGTGTGTGTGTGTGTGAGAGAGAGAGAGAGAGAGAGAGAGAGAGAGAGATTCGACCTCTTTCGTCGGGAGAATGGGATTGAGTAACGATGATGCCTTGCAATGATGCCTCTTTGTATTATAGCATAGGGCGATTCAATGGGCCATCATTATCATGAGCTAGTTGGGCTGCGTTACAACTGATACAAGTGTCAATATCGGGAATGTGCCACTACGATAAATTGGCCCATTATGTAATTGGGTTGTTTCTACTATGCTCATCGTAATACATTATTACTGCGACCTTTTTGGGAAAATTACATATAGCCCTTGTATATATATTTACAGAGTAATGTTCCCCTACCCACGGTGGGCATATGTTAATATGTCCACCGCTTATGTGGCATGCACACATTGGTGACGTTAATATGTTCAAAAAAATACATCACCAATATGTGCATGTCACATAATCGATGGGCATATTACCATGTGTCCATCATGGGTAGAGGAGCATTATGCTATATTTACATATAGACATCCTTGCAAAACATTAATCAACAAAGGATTATATTGTGATTTTAATTTCATAGCTATGGCATGATGCTCTCGAAATAACGCACAAAAAAACAGTAACTCAAAAAAAAAAAAAACATGCAGATTTTGTTACCTGTAATTCGGGTAACCACGAATTCAAAATTCGAAACGGGATTTACAGATCAACGGTCTCTTGCTGTCCGAACAAAAAACACTGATCAGCTGGGGAGAAAACGATCGTGTTGTCATCAGTTGTTTGCCCCATCTCCGTCGGAAGTTCACTCTCGAGGCCACGAAATCCGAGCTGTTGAACGAGCTCATCAAAATATCTTTGTGTTGCACGTTTTCTAGGGCGAATAAGCTTGTTTCGGGCCAAATTAAAGTAGACAAGTCCGCTTACCAATATCACGAGGAGCAACGTGTCGACGCTCATCATCGCGTGTAGGGCCCCTTGGAACTCGTTGTATCTATGGAGCTTCGTTTCTCGGTAGATTCCGAGCGTTAGGGGCTCGACTTTTGTTTCGGTTATGCTCTTGTTCTCTTGTTGCAACGGGATCAACTCTCGTTGGCATCGGTTGATTGCCCGAGTCACCTGTCGAACATAAACACATTTCAGAACAGACAATGTGTAATTACAGACTAGAAAATAACCAGAACAATTTTGGAACTATGGATTACTATATATTATTTAATAAGACTAAGTACCTGTCGAAAAATTTGGGTGTCTAGGGCACGATGGTCATCGCGAAAGGCGGCTAAGCCGAAGTCGGTCGAGTAGTAGCTCTCCATGTTCGAAACGCCCGATTTGATGACTTGGCAAGCGTCCCAAAGGCGGGAGGTTTCGTCCATGTACTCGTGGAGCCATTTTTCTCCGACCCGTAGCTTTAGTTTTTGGACCAAAATGATGAGCTTTGAGTGGAAGGAGCGGAGGGTTGAGAGGGCGTGGGAAAGAAAATCGAGCGACGTGAAGTTCTGAGGACTGAGAGAGAAAAAGGAGGTCGAGACCGTGAGTTATCGGCCGAGGAAGTTAAGGAAGCCGGCGACTGAATTTAGGATGAATGGTGGCTCATTATTGTTGTGGTATCTATACTTATATAATAAGGTATCCTATTTTCCAAATTTAGTAGGTTGAAAAGTCATCGTAATTAATGCATTGCTATTTCTATTTATAATTTTATTTAATTATTTTATTTATTTGTCTTATATCCCATAAAATCAGTTTAAGAAAGAAAAATCACATAACATCTAATAAGTCAAAAAAAGGACGCAAAATCTTTACTAAAATAAAAAAGACTTTATGATGTAGAGGATGTATTCGAAAGGGAAAATAGAACGCAAGAACAGATTTCTGTTTTCTTTTCAGAATAATAATACAACAATGAAAATAAACTGTTCAGGGAGTGGGTACATATATGAAGAGCCCACTACTCATCAACTTCCTAATTATTTAATTAACTGCTCCACTAATAAAAATAACATAAATGAAAACTATAATAACTAATAAACTGACAACTAATAAAGACCGGAAAAATAAATAATCTAGACTCGAAGACGGTCATATTTCTGCATAAACGCCAACGCGGCCTCGTCTCCATCATCCACCCATGGTTGAGGAGGATTCGCCCTCGAATCCGAATGGGCCTCGTCTTCGTCTGAGTTGTCACCCTCGAACGGCACCAAATGTTTGACGTTAAAAATGTCGGAATCTTTAATTATTATTATTATTATTCTTATTATTATTATTATTATTATTATTATTATTATTATTATTATTATTATTATTATTATTATTATTATTATTATTATTATTATTATTAGTGGTGGTATTATAGATTTATTAGGAAACTTATTATTTATCAATTTTGTTAGGATTCTTGTCTTGTTAGACAAGTTAGTATTGTTAGGATTCTTGTCTTGTTGGACAAGTTAGGATTAGGGTTTATGAGCCTTATATAAAGGACTCACCCTCTTTTGTTATCTATTTTGAATAAGAAAATGAATTAATTGTGAGTTTTACGTGTTTTACGAGAGAGTATCTCGTTTACTCGTTTATCCTTCCCATTCGTACGCTTCCCTACATCACTTTATTTATTTGTCTTATTCCATACTAACATCGATTTTGTCGAAACAAATCCCATAAAATCAGTGAATTCAAAATTTGTACGCAAAGTCTATCTATAGTAAAAAAAGGCATATTCAAAATTCCTTATCTAATTCATTATTTTCCTTATCTATTTTCTTCTTATTATCTAATTGTATGGAAATTTGTTCTGATTTTGTTCAATCCTCTAATTGTATTTGTATCATATCCCATAAAACCAGTTTAACAAAAAAAAACTCCATAACATCCGATTAGTAAAAAAAGTACTTAAAATCTTTACTAAAATTAAAAAAAGGCTTTATTTATTATCTATTTGTATGGAAATCTGTTCTCATTTTATTCAAACCAATTTTTGTATATTCAAATTCAGATTTTCTAATAAAATATTAACAACAATATATATCTACTATACCCATTATAAATTACAAATTCAAAATATCGAGCCATCATCTTCCTCACTGTCAACCTCCTACGAACAAAAAATATCCCCATTCAGTCTTTTATTCAAAACAATGAATCAAAGATTTGGGTTAATCAAACAAGTCAATAGGTCCAATAGACCTATGCTCAAAGTTCGAATTGTGAGAATGTTTTTCCAAGACTCGCGCAGCACATACAAATCATATCTCGAGTTAGTTTTGCATGATAAAATTGTAAGCCAAATTATTTGAATTTTTGTTTTAATTTTAAAATTTGAAACATATATATATTTTTTTTATTTTCGTGTATATATTTAGATATTTTTGTACATGTTTAGTGAAATATATTTTTTATTTTTTTTAATTATATTTTCAGATTTATAATTTGGCTTATTTATTCTACATATCGTGTATGTATTTAGATATTTACATTATTTATATTTATTTTCGTGTATTGTAAATTTTTTTATTAAATATTACATCTTATAGTATAATAATCCCCAAATAAATACATATCGTGCCTCGTACGTACTATATATATTCCGTACATTTTTTTTATTCATTTATATAATTATAATGTTCGATAAATTACTTTAAAATTGTGCATCCGCATCGCACGGGCTGTGTACTAGTTACTTTAAGGCTTTTTTTTGGTTTTTTTTGGTATTTTGAATATTTAGGAAAAGTACGATAATATCGTGTAGCGCCAGATTGTGCTGATGTGGAGACACGTGTGTCGGTGGGTGCCACCAGGATATCTTTGTCGCTTATTTAGGGCACTCCACTTTGAAAACCTAGGAGATGAATGAGGCAGCTGCAATCATTCAGGTAAATATCTCTCCCACGCAGGCGCCGGCTCACCTCCTTCGATCCACTGCGCGCGCCTTTCCCCCGTTGAGGTTTTATGTTCATCGGCGAAGGTGGAGGAAGCGAGGTAGCCGGCGGAAAGCCTTGTATACGGCCGTCACGTCACACGTTCTCAGTCTCTCCAGGCCGATCTCCGGTATATCCATCGCTGAGGACCTCGTGCGACGCGGCAGACGTAAAATCGAAACCAAAATATATATACATTTTTCTGTATTATAAAGTTTTGTTTGAACTTTGATCTCAAATAACTAATTTCCCAAGAAAGTTTGTTGCTTGGCAAATAAAGTTTGATCCGTACGGTTACTGTATTTTCAGGTTTCTCTTGGCCATTATTGCTTGCTGTGTCGAATATGATCAGGTATATAGTAGTTGTAGTTGTAGTTGTAGTTGTAGTTGTAGTTGTAGTTGTAGTTGTAGTTGTAGTTGTAGTTGTAGTTGTAGTTGTAGTTGTAGTTGTTGTTGTTGTTGTTGTTGTTGTTGTTGTTGTTGTTGTTGATGTTGTTGTTGATGATGATGATGATGTATGTCACAATTCAGGCGCGCCGCAAGTTCACTGGCCCGTGCACGTCAGTTTTCAAATAGAGTCCGGTAAGACTTGTGTTATTCCCACTCATTTATATGCCTTTTTACCCATGAATGTCTCTTTTTGTGGAGTATTGTTTGAAGACTGGTACCCCCTGCTCTTTTCTCACCTTCTTGATTGTACGAAATTTTATCTGTAAACTGATAATTTCTTATGTATATAGTGCATTTCGAGAAACTGAATATGGGATTACTACTGAAAGTCTGGTCAAGAATGCACTGGTATCGGTCTTCATCTATGGTTTATTCACCAAGTAAGTATCTTCTCGCTATGCCTAAGTTTATCATTGTGGCTATGTTTTTATACAAGCTATGAACTGACTCTAAAGTGTCCCCTCTCCCTCTCTCTCTTCCTCTGGTTGTGATACAACAGCATTGGTTACGCCAACGAGTAAGTTATCTCTTCTCTTATCCAAGTTATGTATACTTGGTACTTTTAATACGTGTTGCATACTGTTTGAAATTGAACCAAATACGAGACCTGGTTATTACGACAAAGTTTTGGTACTTTTTTCTATCAGAAATGAATATTTTGTTCAAAGTTTTTCCATTTCTGTATCTAAAGTTAATTGGAAAAATTTAAACCACCTCAATAAGTTAAAAGAGAGTAATACCACCTTACATACACAAAAACTAAACAATAATATGGTTAATGTGTTACTACTATAAGAATGTTGGCAATATAATAAAATAATAATTCACAAATGTGTATTTCTAGCAGAATGCATTCCACCGGTTCTAGATCATTTTAACCTCCGTTTGCATCAAACTTTGTAAAAGAAATGCTTAATCATTTTCTTTATACTGATCTCCTGTGAATAATTAGATGTTCCTCTTGTTGGTATCATTTTTATTCTTTACAAACTCCCATTGCAGAAAATTGTATAAAGAACTGAAGGGGATCAATGCTGAAGTGCTCAATGAAGGGTTTGGCTAAAGAATCTTTACTTAAACTTATCTGCTTATATTGTTTTTCCAAGTGCTTAGTTGATTACTGAATCTACAATACCTTTTCGATTCAAATCATTTATCGTCTACATTGATCATTTGTGATTAATATTTGGATATGATGATCGGGCTAGCTAGGGATCATGTTTGGATGCTGAGTAATCCTTTTCAAAAGTTGTACACTTATTTTGAATTTTGCTAAATTATTTGTCAGACAAAACGCGAAAGATATTAAAGTGTGTTGGGGGTGTAGCAAATAGTTTACTAGAACAATATATTTGCATGTGTTGTTGTTTTGGAGTTATTTGCACTATGGTGTTGCTCTACTAACATTACTGGATGCCACTTTTTAAAGCAAATGCTAGGAAAGGTGTTAATTTAAAATTGTTGGAAATCCAGTTGTTTATGTATCAAGTAATTATTGTTTTCCTCTCATGCTGCATCGTATTGTTGAAAGCAAATGTTGATGATTGCATTCCATTTTGTACTCAAAATGCATGATACCTTTTTGTTCTTGTACTTTGACTTTATTTTATTTAATTTTGTATGTTTGAGGAAAAAAAATTGAACACTTTAATGACTTGTTGTTGTCTACGATTATTTACAGGGAGCGTTACAGCAAAGCCATGAAACAGTTGAAGGAATTAAGGTTTGTACTCGATGAAGAGTCTGATTTTTGTTTCCTTACTCTTGGTCTTTATTTTTGTGATAAACAAACTCTCCAACCTCTCGCAAAATCCATCCCATTTAGGATACACTAGTGTGTACCTCGTGCATTGCACGAGAACAATACTAAATTAACAATATTATAAATAATTCTCGAGTTTGAGTCACTCAATGGCGGAAGTGGAAATTACTATTGATCCTATTTAAAAAGAGGAAGAAAAAAATAGTAATTATAAATTAAAGAGAACAATACTTCATAATTATAA